TAAAAATCTTTTCATCACTGAAAACAATGTCTCGGGCGCGTGCCACCGTGAATCGCTGCAGCAACTTCTTGCATCTCTCCAATCTCCTTTTCTTCATAATGTCCGTCAGGAGTTGGCATTTCTGCAAGCGATAGGGGAACTTCCTTAGCTTACTTCTGACAATCCTCCTCATTGACCTCGCGCTTACTCCAACGTCTTTCGCCATCTGGCGCATCGATCTCCTGGCGTTCCTTCGAATTCTTTCTCTGACGAGCCTCACATTTCTCCGATTTTCTTTCTTTTTTCCATTTCAGCATTCGAGTACGTAGGAATTACGCAACCTCCAGGCAACATATCACAAGCGAGTGAAACAGGAAAATCTCCAAGAAGTGTTAAAAAATTCAAAACGTATAGGTGCACCAGTAATTTTGCATCACCCTGTAGTAGTTCTTATTACCATAAACTTATTATTGTTAACAAGTGACTATTTGCGGTATCCAAAAATCCATGCAGTCAATTTCAGAACATGAAAATGGATACAAATGCAAACAGGACGGGTTCCTCCGTGTTAAGATACGGGACGTATGTATGTGCTCCGCGCTCATCATTGCATTAACACGTTGACGACTGCGCAGGTTTTGGCTTTTTGGGACATGCGCGATTTGGCGAGCGCGAACTGCCTAACGCGCAAGCGCGTCAGCTTGTCCCACGTGGTACGTGTTTCGGATTTGAAATTGAAAAGTAACGAAACAAGAGTACATCGCTACTTTGAGAAGACCGTGAACACGCCCACTGTTTGTCTCTATACTCTCAGCGAGATACTAGGGAGAACAGAGTAGGGAATCCGTGAGTATGGAGGGCATAGCCAGTTCGGGAGATGGGGAGGGAGGAGTGTAATGTGCATGTTCTCACATTTTTTTCGGATAAATGACTTCAGGAGAGTGGTCGCATTACTGCTGAAGGTTGAACGTTTCCTAAGCCAGTTGCTTTTTAGATTTTAGAAGAACTAAGTAAAGGTTTGAAAGAAATTGGCAGCATAAAATGTTTAGAGCGTAACGCTACTATGTTTAAAGAGCAGGGATCTGATGGTCGCATCAAGAACCAAAAAGGGTTAACACGCGCTGTGAAAGTTGTGGAAATTCTTTTTTTCTCGACTGCTCCAAAGTGAATACAGGTCAACTCACCATAGTACCGTAATTCCTGACATTATCGTATCGCATTGTGGTTTGCATGTATGTTTTGTTTGTATGCTTGTCTACCCCAAAATATTGCAGTCTAAGATTGAACTAAACGGTAAACTTTAGTGTGGTTCAGAAAACCTTCGCTCAACCAAAGCATAATAAATTTCTTCATGAACCACAGCGTTTACAGGCGTAATTATGTTTTTAACCTATATAATAGTAATAAAAGACCTTGGAAAAAGTCGAACATGTGAAAAAATGAGTACCAAGTTGCTGACGCGCATGCGCGTCAGAATGTCAAATATACCGCGTCAAATGTCTGGCGCGCTTGCGCGCAGGGTCAACTGTCACGTTCGAACATTTTCAGGATATTTGCGACCCCCTAGGTCTCGTGGGGGTCCAGTTGCGACCAGGGTCAACCGTCCGTTGGACAAAGTCCAACGCGACGACGAGAGTAATGCCGAGAGTGAACGTACGCACGGAGACACAGACGGCTCGCGGGTGGCGAGAGTGAATGCCGGCGCGGAGAGCGGTCAACATCGGTCCAACGTCGCTCCAATATCGGTCCAACGTAACGGTTGACCCTGGTTGCGACCCCCTGTTTTTGTTTGCAAGAGTGCTAGACATGAATCCGTTGCGCCAGAAAGCGTCTGCATTGCGGCGTCAGCCTTGGAGCGCGGCAGGTATCACCCGGGCGCTGGAAGAACGGGACGCGGCGAAGAAAAAATTTTAGAGGGGAATAACTTTCTTGGGACGTATTTTTTTGACTTGTTGAGGTAGATTTTGACTGTGCCTGAGGTGCGCTTTCAGAAAACTACAAGGATTGCCTAACTCTCCGGAAAGTACTTCTGTTAGAAGTGGAAAACCCAAAATTCTAAGAAGGCGCACCTTCAACTTTGAAGGCCCATAAAATCTTTCGTATGCGACATTTTGGAAATCTGTAAAAAGTTTCAGAAACTTCAAATATTTCTCTAACAAAACAGTATAAAAAGTTTAGTGATTGTCCCCTTTTTCAAAAAATTGTCCCGTTCGAACATTTTTCGTGCAAAAGCGAGTTTTTTGGGCTTTCAGCGACCATAACTCACTTCATTTTCATTTCTGTGATGCTTTTTCATGGGGTGAAAGTACAGGATTTGCTCTTTCTAACAAGCACCAAACCGTTTTTCAAAATCCATTTTCCGAGAAAATCACACGTTCGAACATTTTGTTCCCATAGGTTTTTGAGCAGCACATGCGAGTTTTTGAGCTTTCAGCAATAATAACTTCCTTCTTGTTGGGGAGGGGCGAAGACATTTTTGAAGACTACGAGATTTCTGCTTTCTTATGTGTTTTACCGTTGTCTGGAAGAATCGTCCTCAGAAAATTAGGTCCCGAAGAACTTTAATTTCAGCCCCGAGAAGTCAAACCTTTCATAGGGATGCATTCAACTGTTCTTTATTCCTCAAGGAAAACACCGTAATTTGCCTAAAACTGTCTCTCTGTGCATAATTAATCGAATCTAATGCGGTCTGCACAAACAATTCTTGCCCTCGGATACGCCACGCACGCGCCTGTGGCTGGCAGTCCTCGAAATTGCGACCCCCTTCCGACCAAAATGCGACCCCTTCGTTCGAACAGTTCGAACGGACGGTTGACCCTGCTTGCGTGTCAGCCTGTCGTCAACGTTCGAGGTGTTGAATAGTCTGGTTACTGCGATAGCTGGCGCCTCCCGTCAGCCACGAAAAAGATTCTAATGCACTAACTTAAAAATCATTTTATTGATCAGTGAACAGCAAATAAATTTACAACAAAGTCTAAAAAGCGGACATAAATCATTGTTACTAATAGCCAGAGATCAACCCGTCACTATTTAAAACGAATAAAATTGATTTTCTGCTCAGCTATTGGTATTTTGGAATGGAAATTTAATGGCAAGCGTTATTGAGCGCGACATCCAAGAAAGAGCTCTTGGAGTTAAGTCAAAAGAGGCGATACTTTGCATTGGCAGAGGACGTCATGAGATCACACATCCTGATTTCTGCTTTCCTTTCAGACGTTCTACATCAGCTACGTCGATTCCACTGTAGGCACGTGTACTCGGCATTGATTGCCTGCAATTTGATATGATGACATTAAGGATCAATGAAGAACGAATAATAGGCTTATGGCAGATCAGGCCATGTCAGAAACGCGAGGCGCTGAGATGACATCACCAAAAAGTCTCAAAAACACCAGTGAAAAAATGCTCTCCATCTGCCTCTCTGCTCAGCTGACCGTTTTTCCAATTGCGTCGCTGTTCATCTGTTTGCCTATCTGTCTATCTTTCTGCTCGTCTGTTTGTTTGTCCTTCTGTTTGTCTGTCTGTCTGTCTGTCTGTCTCTCTGTCTGTCTGTCTGTCTGTCTGTCTGTCTGTCTGTCTGTCTGTCTGTCTGTCTGTCTGTCTGTCTGTCTGTCTGTCTGTCTGTCTGTCTGTCTGTCTGTCTATTCATCTGTCTGTCTATCTGTCTCTCATCCTGCCCGTCCGGCTCCTCTCCACGTTTTTCCAATTGCGTCGCGTTCATCTTTTTGTCTATCTGTCTATCTTCTTCTTTGTGTCTGTCTGTCTGTGTGTCTGTCTGTCTGTCTGTCTGTCTGTCTGTCTGTCTGTCTGTCTGTCTGTCTGTCTGTCTGTCTGTCTGTCTGTCTGTCTGTCTCCTGTCGGTTCTCTTGCTTTCATACTCGTACAGATATCCTTCCCGAAAAAAATCATGATTCTCTCTCACCTATAAATCATTGGCTTGGGACTCATCATTCACGATAAGAACGAAAAGAACAAGAAAAATTGCATTTGTTTTGTAAACAATTCGAAAACCTGGAAGGACTGCTACGCGTTCAAATTCCTGCCGGACATCTGTCACAAATGGGAATGCTTCCACTTGGTTCTCGGAGTGCTGTCACTTAGACCTCTTCTCTGCCTTTGACTATTGCATTAGCATCTCACACTTCTACTGCATCCTATTCTATCGATCGTTTGTCCTATTCTCCAACAACAAGCGCCAGGTTCTTTGGAGGCAGCGATTACGAGGGATGAAGACATGATGGTGCTCGATAACACACAGTGGCGAAAAAAAGCTGAAATCCGTCAAGAAAACGTAAAACGGGACCCCCTTTTTGGGCCGTTCCTTTTTCACTCATGAACAGGCAGCTCAGAAATCGGACGTATGAACGAGTTCATCGCAATGCGTTTGGTGGCAGCATGCCAAACCACGGTTCAATCGAGTTGTTCTAACTGTGTCACTAATAAAAATAGGTGATTTGGGCGAGCTGCTAGCAACAGGTACTAGTGGGCGGATCGCTTTTGGGGCGGAGTGCTTTCGAAGTCCTGCTCAGCAACCAGCGCACCTTTCGTCGTGAAAGCGCCACATCTCGCTTCCTGGCAGCCAAGTAACTGCTTCGTGTGGTGCATATGCTTCCCCGATGCGCTTCCTTCTTATCGTGATCGCTGCCTTCAAATGCGTCGCCTGATACGTGGCCACCCCAAGAAGCACTTCTTGTTTCCGCACGAGATACCCTCGACCGTCCGTAGAATGTGGTTTAATAAGTTTGTTCTCTTTGGGAATTAGATTTTCAGAAACCGTACATTGCTTCTAGTGTTCGCGATTGGTATATCCATGTTAAGAAAGAATGCAAGAATTCTCCGCGGAGGAACCTGTAGATTATGATGTTCCCTTTGGGCGCTTGCGTACCGTAACCCAACACGCGAAAAATTCGCCGTTAGCTTCGATGTCATTGGTGCAGGCGCACAACAAGCACCCTACCGCACGCGCAAATTGTCGTGTCATCAGTTTCCCGTGCGTGTTTGCCGATCGCCGGTGTATTTCACAGGGCGCTGCGGTTTGAATTATCTTCCCGCGCGCGGACATTTGAATTGAGTGTGGCGTGTAACGGCGTTGCGGCGGCTCGGCTCGTTGCCAACTGGCCTTTCGACCGTTCTTTTTTCCACTATATTAGCACTGCCGTGCACTCCACTCACTTATGCCTCTATTCTGACCCTAGGTGTGCAGTACTTTATTTGCTTCTTTCTGCTCCTAATGCCAGCCAGCTATTCTGTCCCCAACTGGAAGTGATAGATTGCAGGTGAGCGATTTCTTATACGACATATTGTATACGACTGTGTCATAGGGTAGAATGGGCTAATTTCACCAGGTCTCTTTCGTGTCTTCCATATGTAAACGCGAGAAACACTGCTACGCGATCCCTTTGGAAGGTCTCGAGATAGCCTGAAAGGCGATTGATTTTGATACGAGTCCAAACTTGTGGCATCCCGTCCCTCCTCTAACCCATTGTTGCAAAACAAATGTACACTTGGATGTTTCGTAGCTTATGCTTTTTCTCCACACATCTCTTTTGTCATTATTTCGTCTGCGCAATCTACTCACGATCAGCTTGCTAGTTACGTATTCATCTGTTCCTGGAAATGTCTTCTCAAACTTACCACACCTGTCCTAACTGCGGAAAAATGATGCTGAAGGAAAATTTGTACCAAATTGGTACCCGAATGGTAATTCACCATACAATATTGTGTAAGCGTGTAAGCTGCACTGAGCTGAAGGGTTTTACGAAGGAATGAACATCTTAGTCAGATAGCTGTGAGCAAGGCCGTCTTGGCCGCACTGTAAGAACAACTTATAAGTGAGAACATGTACATAATAATAAAAGCACAAATGTTAAATAATAATTCTGCACATAAAAGAACAAGTGACTGATTCCTAAGAGAAGCAATCGCAGTCTCCCTCTCTCTTTAAACTCACATCAGAGTTGTGTCGATGCATGTTCAAAACTCAAGTGTGAATCTCGAGAGTAAGAGTCGTATACTAAATCGCTTACCTGCAATATAACACTTCCAGTTGGCCGATGTCAGACTCTGCGATTGGAGCGATTCACATTACTCCCATCATGACCAAATCGCTCCAATCGCGCGATGGGCGCGATCACTCCCGTTGTGGCAGGGAGCGCAGCTCCGCAGTCAACGTATCGATCGAGGGGGGCGCGCCAGCGATTGATCGCTCCCTGCCACAACGGGAGTGATCGCGCCCATCGCGCGATTGGAGCGATTTGGTCATGATGGGAGTAATGTGAATACGCAGTTGGTACGAGCCTGCGACTGCGCGGGACTAACGCTAGGGAGAAGAAGAAGAAGAAGAAGGGAGTAATGTCAATCGCGCGACCGTCGCGCGAATCGCGCGATGGTCGCGCGATTCACATTTGACCGATCGCTCCAATCGCAGAGTCTGGCATCGGCCAAAGAATCAGATAGAGTACTGCATAACCAGGGCCAGAATAGGAGAGTAAGTGAGTGGAGTGCACACAGTGCATTTACAGTGAAGAAAAGGCCAAATGGCAACGAGCGAGCCGCCGCAACGCCGTTACACGCCACACTCAATTCAAATGTCCGCGCGCGGGAAGATATTTCAAACCGCAGCGCCCTGTGAAATATACCGGCGATCGTGCTTGCCTCCCAGTTCTCGTTTTCTCTGCGTCCTCTCAACGAAGAGAAATGTGTCGAGCGAACCCGCGAACTATACCGTGCGCCGTTCATGCAGGAGGTGGAGGATGGCGCGCATGTCGGGTTGGCCTCGCGTTCGATGAAGCGGCACCCGGGATGACCTCCCCTGCCGCCGCGCGCGGAGAGCGCGCAGCGTTCAGCCTGGCGGCGAGGCGAGCGCTGCGACGCTTCCTCCAACTTTGGGTTGCTGCCCCGGGAAACCATCGAAGTCTAACCAACTGCAGCCGCTGCCGTAATGCGCTCCGGCGCCACCGCGGGTTACGGTATTCGAGCGCCCAAAGGGAACAATATAATCCTGTGGAGGAATCCTCCAACAACCATCCATACATCTGCCTGCCCCCTGTCTTCCCTACTCTCTCTTTTTTCTCTTCTATTCTATTCTCTTTGTTTGCTTATTTGCATTTTCGATGAATTATTAATTGTGTCCAATTGCCCCCGAAGTTTCCCTCCTTTTTGTCCAGCCTTCTTTGTTATTATCTCTATGCACGTCTCCTGATCCTCTTTTGCGTCTGTTTTACTGATATCCCATCAGTTACCATGCTTATTTTTCCTTACTGTCTAGCGCTTTATCTAACCCTACTTTCGAGTAATCCATCTTTTGAACACTTTCTCTCTCACTTTCTATCCATCTATCGATTTATCTATCTATCTCCTCTCTCGCCGCAATCCTTCCATACGTTCATTTTTCACCTGCGCTTCCTCATCTCTGTGATGCCGATCCGACTCTGATCCCGGAGTCGTTCGAGCAGCTCTTTGAACGCTTCTGTCACCTAAATGATAATGAATGGAGTAAGTTCTCCTAGGTTCCAGACGGCCGCTAACCTCTGTATGGTTCTTTGCTGAGCACTCCACAATAGGAATCGCTCGAGTGTAAGCGTACTGGTGAGACCCTTTCGCGTTCCAATCCATCACATCTTCGTAAAGATCACATTTGTTCGCTACCAACACTATTGGGACCTGCAAATTAGTTCTGAAAGGAAGTGCTACACAAATTATCAGAGAGGTAATTCACACGCCACTGATCAAACTTTATGGGTTACGCTACGCATTTCTTGAATTCAAAAGCGCTTCTCCGTCTGACTACATATTTTTTGGCGTGAATATTGAATTGAAGGGCCCCTATTTCATAACACTTTTGAGCTCTTTTGCGAGTGAGCTCATCAGTACGAAGACTTGCTTCTTTCAATTCAACTCAGCATAGTGCATGTAGTGCTCAAGCGGCGGCTTCACCTACCGCTCCCTAACCCGAGTTTTTCATTTGTGCCCCATTTTTGCGAGACCCATTTGTAGCCATGAGCTACTCACATTCATGGTCCTAGTGAGCGCTGGGAGTGGCATGGACAAGCACGGTGTCCAAGAAGCATAGAAGCAGGTCCCTCAACACTTAGGCGTCCATAGATGGGTTTGTAAACTTATAACCGAAAGACGTATGACTAAAAAATTATTTACGGAAGGTGAAAATGCAGTTTGGAGGGTGGGGGGACAGTGATATTCAATCGAAGCGGAGTTGCAGAAGGACACTCACTCTTAATCAGAGTGGGTTGCGGAAAGGTCCCGAGATCTCCAAATTCGTACCGAACCGGCTTGGTAGTTCTAGTTAATCGTGCGCTCAGACCTTGTGCTCCGAATGTCGTTTAGATATGAGTGCCTCTTTCGCAACTCCATTTTGGTTAATAGATGTCAAGAGTGCCCACCTCCCCCCCCCCAACTACATCATTTTCATAGATGCAATAGGTTGGCTTGCGATATGACGTTGCCACTCTTGCCAAAGTCTGAAATGAAGAGGATAGTAGTCAACATCTGTCGCCTCCTCAGCTGTCAGCATTGCGATAGGAAGTGCCCTTCCTTCAGAAATCAGAGAAGCGTCCAGTGCAGACCACACACCACAAGTGACGACGGCCTCCAAGTAAATCTGGTAATAGTGTTCATAGTGATAGCTGATAGTTGGTAAATGATAGTTGTAATTAGTGACAACTGATAGAATACAACTGCAACAGGCTAATCATTTCATTGGCAGAAAACATTTACATTTTGTGGAGGCCGTCGTCACTTGTGGTGTGTGGTCTGCACTCGACGCTCTTCTGGTTTTCTGTAGCAGAGTATACATAGTGTTGAGGAATGTGTAAATTACAGGGATGGCAGAGGTGGTATAGTGGCTAGTGACTCCACATACTATGCGCTCTGTGCTGTCAAGCCTATGATCGGATCCCGAGCGACCAAGCCTTCCACCTTAGCAGGTACCTGGTACAATGCTACCTGCCTAAGGAGGCAAGAGCACAGATATCTACATGAGCTTACGCCGGAAGCCGTTCCAGAGACTAAATCTCATTCAAATGCGATTGCGACTCTGAGTGGAGGTAGCGTAGTGCATCAAACTATTCGGCCATGAGAAAACTCATGAATTTCTTCGAGAAGTACTGTTCACATTATTAACTCGGGGGCTTGAAACTTCTGAAGCAATTTAATTTTGATATTAGTAATTTATTGGAGGAAAATAAGTAGTGCATGTGAGGGCTGCACTAATACTGAAGTGGCTAATGAATGTTCATTAAGAGTGAATGAAAAAAATGAATTCGAAGAAGGATAGAGGAGGGAAATTGAATGCAATGACCTTTTTCTTGCGTTCTTCTTCGATTTCCTCGATGATCTTCTTCGCTTCATCAAGTGATGACGCATCGTCAATAGAAAATACGACCTAAACATAGGTATAAACACGCTAACGGCGAAAAAAAGGAAAAGGAAAGGCGTCGCAAAAAAAAGCTGAAAGGCATCGCATCACATTTTGGGTCGCACACCAAGCGGTTCAAGGAAACGATCAGGAATAATTTTATGCGTAATCTCAGTCGAATATGAAAGCAAGGATGGGACGTGGACGGCGAGCGGAGAAAAAAAGGAAGGAAAATCGCGGAGAAAAACTTAGGAATTACAAACCCTCTTGTTTCATGGAAAAGCATTAGAGGCAAGCAGAGAAACGCGAGATAATTGAGTCGCGGAGAGGGTAAGAGAAACCCGAGCAAAGAGAGCATAGCAAGTCACAGCGAGGCAGACAAGATGTCGAACGGTGGGCGGGCCCTGATATTTTTGATTGGTCAAAGTCCTCAGTATTAGCGTTTTGGTGACGCGTTTCGATGGGGAAGGTGGCTCCATCTGCAGTGGCAGATCACAGGCCATGGGACTACCCTAGCGAGGCTAAACTAAACCTTGGTTCTAATCTCTGCCCATGTAGGCTTGAAGGGACATACTCCGATTGAATAGGTATATGATATTGCTATTAGGTTGGTCCACAAGTCTTGCAACAAACTGGCCGAATTTTGATTTTAATATTTTCATTATCTTTTTGTTCCATTCATCCAGCATGCTACCTCCATCAATATCTACAACCTATTGCCACTAGAAGCTGTTCGATGCCTCTCTTGTAGGAACTCCACTGAATTCTGATCGAAGAAAGATCAGATGTCGATTTTGACATCATGATGGTTAGGATGAGATTTCTTCTCTAGGAGGTGGTCTGGAGAGGGAAGCAGGTGGGCATCCTTTGGCACGAGGTCAGGGCTATAAGGTGGATACGGAAGAACTCTCCGTCCGAGAGTCCAAAATTTTCCTGGATTTTCTTAGCAAGAGGTGGTTCAACGGTGTCAAAAAGCAAACTTTGTCTTGCTTTTCTTTCGTATTAAAAGCGTTGCAATCGAGCTGTGGACGGTTGACTTCCGCGTTGACTGCGACATCTACACGTAGGGGTTTCCAGAGCTAACTCCTCCGTGTTCCACCAAAAATCCGAGAAGGCCCTACTTGGACGAGGTTGAACTTAAGCAGTAAGATCTCCCGAAGCGTTTGAGCTGGACTACCGCCGCTTGTTCATTTGTTAGCACACTGTACCCACTCCTCATCTTCGGCAAATGTGATGGATGGTCAATCGAAGAATCCATAGTAAGTCGACTTGAACATAACGATGTCAGATCGTGTTTGGAGCTGATTCGGGCTCAAGGCATGTGGGATCCAAACTCTATATTTTCGGATCTTTACAAGTCTTTGGAGATGCCACAGTGCTGTCTCCTTGTCGCATCAGAATTGCTCTAGCAAATGATCGATACTCTATCCAGATCCCTTTTCAACAGCGTCAGATAGAGCATCGTGATTGCCAGTCACGGGGTGGTTGGAGTAGGGATCATCTTCAAATGAAAAAGTCAACGCTAAGGCCGATGTCAGACTTTGCGAATCGCGCGATTCGCTAGCGTCTGCGGTCGCGTCGCGGCCAGTGAATCACTCAATTGGCTGGTACCGCAACGCGACCGCGGACGCTAGCGAATCGCGCGATTCGCAAAGTCTGACATCGGCCTAAGCACCGTGGAGCGCCGGTACACCGTGAATTGAAAGAGCGCACGCTCGCTCATCTTCCAGCCGATCCTTGATGTAGTACAAGTTGCGAAACATTCCAAGAAATAAAGATAAAGCATTTGCCGTTGATCAATCCCTTTTTGGGATGCGGCACGCATTCTACTTCCATTTGTACATTCGTAGTGGCGTTTGAATGCGATGTGGCCTATACAATGACTTGCGGGGGCCAGCCGATGTACAAGTCAGTGTTTTTATCCTCCCAGACAAGTCTGGTACCAATTAACCGACCCCGGAGGGATGGAAGGCTTGGTTGGCCCGGGCGACTCACGACCCAGGATTTGATCCCCGGACCGCTCGCGTGGTAAGCGCGCCACTTGTCACTACACCACTTCCGCCCATGCAATACTCGTAAAATTCAGGACACGATGAGCTTCTCTTGCATTAAATGTAATTTGTTGCAAGGCTTATGGACCAACCTAATATGTATTATAGATGAATGTTGTTGTAGCGGTTGGTCCATCAGCAATGAAACGTGATGAAAAATAGCTGAGAACCGTAGACCACGTTGTCGTATGGGCACAGTTTGCGCCCTGCCGTTGCCGGAATCTCATTTGATAACTCTCGCTCCTTGTATCGCAAATTCCAGTGATGTGTTACACTCAGAAGGCGGCACCGACCAATGAGACTCTCGGAGAGCCGGCGCAAACTGCATGATTGGCGTGGCGTGCAGTGAGGTTTCAATATTTCTGGCAGATTTCTTGCTGTTTTCATTCCAGGTAAACCACTCACCAAGACCGCTCTCATTTTTTGGCCCAATAATTCACAGCTACTCGATTGCGTAATGTGCCGTTGACCCTCCGATTCTTCAACTTAGAAGATAAGGGAAAGTCTCGGGTGCGACTTGGTTTGAACGGATGGGTCGGATGCAATCAGGTCGTATGCAAGTAGGGATTAGTACGATCCTGAGGGGCAGATAAAGATTGACCCGACTAAGGAATTGGTGAGCCTCAGGTGAATGTGGTTTGCTCAACGAACAAGATGTGCTGACCTGAGTAAAGGAATCTTCCCCGGGACTCTCGCATTCCTTTCCCAAAACAAATATGTCAGCTGTGGTTTCTTAAGAAAGTTTCATGCACGAAAATTCAGTTAAAGGGACAACTTTCAAAAACAACTTCCTATGGACGGTCGAGGGTAGGGCGGGCGGAGACAAGGAAACGCATAGAAAAATTTCTTCTTAAGGGCGGCCACGTATCAGGCAGCGCGTTAAAAGAATCGGGTTAAGCGTACGACCAAGAGAATTAAGACCAGAGACAACGATCAAAAAAATGGGATACAGTGGAAGAGAATGTTATTCCACCGGTGTAACAGGCCAAAAAGTTTCTAGTGAGGGCACTGGGATGAATCGTTTCCGTCGCCAACATTTGTGACAGATGTCCGGCGGGAATTTGAACGTAGCAGTCCTTCCGGTTTTTCGAATTGTTTACCAAAACAAACGCAATTTTTCGTTCACCGTTTTTAAGGTGAAAACGGGTCTCAAGCCGGTGATTTGTGGGTGGGTCATGATTTTTTCTGTGAACGATTCTTTTGAGACATCGACTTAAACTTATTTGAATGGCTTTCAGCAGGAAAGAAGTGATGTAATGTTTTCATTTAGATTCATCGCCGCTGCAGTCGTGGCTATAAAGTGTGCCTATTGGGAGGGCCCCGTGATTCAACGCGCTGTGGCACCGGATACGGCGCTTTGCGCGATGTTACCGAGCGCCCCACCCCATTTAGGGCGCTACGCTCGCATGTTATGCTTTCTAACTGACACCCACTATGGATGTGTTACCCAGACTGAGCTTACGGACACTTGCATCTTAGGAACCCAGCGAAATAGGCGTCGTCATTTTTCACACTCGTACTTCGTTTGATATCCGTATTTCTTATGAACAATGGAGAGTGAAGCTCGCAAAATGATAAAGATTGACATAATCTTACCAAAAATGCATCGCCAGTCCTAATGTAGAAGTGCCGCATAGCGAGGAAATCATGAGATCCACTCGAGTCAATGATCTGCAATGATTCAGATGCAATGCTATGCCTTATAACCGACTGTTTTTTAGGTTTCTGCAAGATTTCACGCTCTCCACGCATAGGGCGCTGTTTTCGAAGGACGCATCGGCTCTCATCCAGACCAACCAAGCTTTCTGTTCTCGGAGAATGTTTGTTTGGCCTGAACGGTTCAGAGGGACTGGTGCAAGACTCGTTCAGGAGGATAAAATCACATCCAAGTGCTCCTGGGACTTTGACTGGAAATAGAAGGTTAGTGTATGCCAGACTGGATTTCTTTGCCTAATGCTCTATTGGGCTGACTCATCGCCACTCCCTCACCCGACTTCAGCGTACGACCAAGTCGCTTTCATGTATACTTTGTTCTAAATGGAGGTCCCACCCACACACAGAACATAGTTATTGATCTTCTGCGCATTTCGCCCTCACTGTCCCGATGAAACGATTAAAACATCACATGGATCTATGCAAGCAGAGGGATCATAACGTTATTGTCCTCATTTCTGACTATTGCAGGTCGAAACTGG